CACCCCTATGTTTATCGCAGCACTATTTATAATAGCCAAGAAATGGAAGCAACCTAAGTGTCCATCAGTAGATGAACGGATAAAGAAGATGTGGTACATATACACAATGGAATTATTTTTCAGCCATAAGAAGAAAACAAATCCTACCATTCTAAACACATGGATCAAGCTAGAGGGTATTATTATGCTCAGTGAAATAGGCCAGGTGGAGAAAGACAAGTACCAAATGATTTCACTCATTTGTGGAGCATAACAACAATGCAAAACTACAGGAACAAAACAGCAGCAGACTCACAGACTCCAAGAAGAGACTAGTGGTTACCAAAGGGGAGGGGGTAGGGAGGGCAGGTGGGGAGGGCGGGAGAAGGGGATTGAGGGGCATTATGATTGGCATACATGATGTGGGGGGGGGTCACAGGGAAGACAGTGTAGCACAGAGAAGACAAGTAGTGACTCTACAGCATCTTACTATGCAGATGGACAGTGACTGCAATGGGGTGGGGGAGAGACTTGATTATATGGGTGAATGTTGTAACTACAATGTTGCTCATGTGAAACTTTCACAAGATTGTATAACAATGATACCTTAAAAAAATGGAGACAACATAAAGGACCATCAATAATGGCTTTAAAATGTACATAATTGTCTAACCACAGAGTCATGCACAATTCAAATTTTAATTAACATGAAAGAATATTCAAGTGGAAAAAACAGGCTGTGGAAGAAAGTAGGTAATATGAATATTTTTATGTGTGTAGAAAAAATAGTAAGAAAAAGAATTCTAACTATTAAAAATGATTACGGTTGAGTTTGGGACAGTGGAGGATGGACTGAGGAAGAAAATTTACATGAAGTCTTCTAAAAAATTTATTGAAAAAAGATTTTGTTGTCATCTTAAACTACTGTTTCTAACTTTCTAATATAAAGAAAAAACTGACCATTCAAAAGCCTCTATGCAATTACTTAAAAAGATATTTTTCAATGTGATTTTTAATCACTTTAAGCAAAATAAAACATCCTCAAAATAGTAATGACCATGTTTCTAGTATGTATTCCCAGGTGCCAAGTCCTTTGCTGCCATCTCCTGGAAGTCAGTGGCTCATGCAGGCCATGGCATTTCTTTCCCCTTCCGGAAAAGACATCCCACAGGACGAAAACAAGGATTAATTACCTTCCTAGGAGTGCAATGCTAAGGCAAAATTAAATTTTACACATAGTCTTGAAGAATTTGTTTTATTCCTATCATGTGTACCTGGGCTTTGGCCTTCCTTTCCTTGAAAATTCATAAAAGCTACAGAACTTTTGTGTAAAACATGAAATTAATAATTTTTATTTTTTTATTCCCAAACCAGATGTCTTAAAGGAAGTGGCTAGGAAGGTGCCAAGCAATTCCAAAAAGGTAGATGAAAGGGACTACACATGGAAGAAAGGACACAGAAAGATACCTCCGGGCTAATACATCAGCAAAGATAGAAAACAGGAGAACCAAAGAATAGTGTAGTTTTGCACAGGAAAATGTTATTAGAAGTGAAGATTTCTTAAAACCACAGTAATACCATAAAGTCTATATAACAAATCAGTCTTATTTGGGACATTTTTTAAGTGAAAATAATCACCTGATTATTGAATTGAGGAATTTTTTTTCAAAAAATGTAAGAGGTTACCATAACTCTGTCTTTCTCTTCATCACTAACATCTGGAAAGAATGTCAGTTTCTTTCTGAGTCCCACTCCCTCATCTCCCATTCACCTCTAGACTTAATGCAATTTTTCCTCACCTTCCTTCTGATCTAGCTGAGTGCTTAAATGTTTAACTCCGGGGTAGGTGGGAGGGAAGTAGGTGATGGAAAGGATTTCTCGGAAGTGTAGTGTTGTATTGCTTGCAAATTTAAAATAATTCCATTATGACTGGTGTCAAGCTAGCAGCTCAATGTTGCTGAACTAAGAGTTGGGACTGGCTTTGTGCAATAGACCCCTGACCAAGTAAGAGCCGGTCCCAGCTCACCTAAGAGACCCTCCAGGGAAACCGCCCTGCCTTCGGCACTGCACAGATCTTAGGGTATGGTGTACGCACTGACAGATGCAAACTCATAGTTTCCATCCCAGCTGCTTAACTACTAGGTAGCACTGGCCGTTCCTTCACTGGTGCACCATTCTCCTCCATTTCTCGGGCAGTCCCATCCTGCTCTTTGCTTCCCAGAGCCCCTGCTCACCCCTGCCTGCTTGATGTTCCCCAGGTTCCGCCCTCCGTCCCTTCTGCGCCCACCCTCATCCTACCAGCCTCACACCTACACCTACCACTGCAGACACCTCCAACTCAGTGAGCCCAAATCCGGCATCAGATTTTCCCTGCTTCCTTTTTTGCTTCCCCTACACACACGACTTTCGCTATGTTATCAATCGTATTATAGAAAGTACCTTGACACATATCCATTCTTTTCCATTTTCACTCCCCTTGCCTTCTTAGCTGTCTGGATGGCATCTCTCCTGAGCTGCCTGGTTGACCCCTTCCATGGAGCCTTGTCCCAGCTCCTTTGGTCCTCAATTCATCCTTCAACTCATCACCAAAATGACCTTTTTAAATCACAGTCAAGTCATGACACTTCCTAGTTTCTCCCATTTTTCCTATGTCCTAAAATATTAATTTGATAGCAATTACTTCAAGGCAATTCATTAATTATCCAGCCAATGCCCTGGAAGGCCAAGACCCCTACTAACCTTAGCTTTTAGCCCCAGAATAGGCCATGATTGTCCCAGTTTCCTCGCATTGTAGCAGGAACCAACAGAACTAAGACGTATTAACTATAATAAGATAGAATTACGTAAATACTTCCAGCTTTTCCCATTCTGAACAAGAAATTTGACTGAAAATGTTATGTACATGAGTAGAAAATACGGTATGGAGTTTGTATTAATTCCGTATTGCTGCCATAGCAGATTACCACAAACTTGGTGCTTCAAATAAACTCCTTACTCCTCCTCATCTCCTAACCTCATTAGTCAATTCAAACTTACTTTCTCTGTGAAAACTTTGTAGAACCTCCAGGGAGAATTCTTTCCTCTCGTGAAAGCTTCTTACTTTGTACTTCTATGGAGAAATCATCACGGTGATATATAATCATGTGTTTACCAAGCTTTTCAGCTATCTCTAGCCTGTGGGATTCCTAAGGCAGGGACCTACTCTGGTTACACTTGAATTCACAAAGTCTGACCCAGAACATTATTGATACGTGTATGTATACTAAATGAATGAATGAATGAATGAGTGAATGAATGAGTGTGTGAAGGCAAGGCTCAGAAATGAAAACTACATTAAACTCAAAAAAGTTTGCTTTGAAAATACTTCTGAGATCAAATATATATTAGAAAACTGAAAATGAAATAAAGAGGAAAATGTTACATAAACTACTGAAATTTAGAGTGTTGCAGTGTTTTCACTTTTTTTTAATTGAGTACCTGTGAGCTTCTTTTGGAATGTTCCAAAAATTGTTTTCAGTTTAAAATGCAATTTGTTTACTCATGAGTTCATTCAACAATTATATGTGTATTGCAAACTATGCTGTAGATAAAATACAACTAATTCAAATATTATATAATGCTTTATTAGCATATTATACTGAAAATATTAGCAAATATATACTGCTGCTTAGAATAAGACAACAGTAGAAGGATATTGTGCTTTAACTCTTGTGGAGAAATTAACCTGTTATTGAGTTTACTATAGCTTTGTAAGGTATAGCTTTATATCCTTTATTGTTTTGTGTTAAGTTGAAAATAAAAATCTAGTGGGTTCTGTAGAAACCATAGGATATTTTCTTAAAGGCTTTTTAAATTAATTTTTTGTGTATTTTATTTTAAATCCCATCTAAATGAGAACTATATCAGATAAAAGGATAAAAAAATGAAGTCTTTTGAATGAATGTAAATATTCAAACATGAACAAATTAATACTTCAAAGATAAGAAAATGTGGATACTGTCTTCTCACTGTGTGCACAGGTACCATATAGAATCATATCTGTTGATTAATAAATTACATGGATCAGAAACTGGTGAGAATGGAAAATACCTTATGCAGAATCTCACTCAAAAACATTTGAAGCATCAAAATTAAGCAAATGTTGATCAAACTGATTTTTTCAAAAAAGGACAAGTTCAGCAAAACCCAAACACACTTCTTAAAAAGTTGCATTGCAAATGCCATTAAAAGCATAGGTTTGGGTGTTTTTACTAAATTTCATATTTTTTATTATACATGCTTAGTTTTTTAATACATTATTAAATCTATATCTCATTGTGATTTGTTTATAAATAATTGTTGAATAAGTGAAAAATCAATAAATTTTAGGGATATGGGAAAAAATACCAGGTATAAGTTTAATTACTAGCCAATGAATTCATTTAAATGAATTTTTAATTTTAAATTTAACTAGGATTACACTTCGGATAAATTAAAAATAGTAAAAATCCATGTTATTTGAAAGCCTTTAAAGAAGTGTTTTTATCTCTATTTAAGGATTGTCTCTGCTAACTAGATGTTGGTTTTGTTACTTTGTCAGCACGTTGTCCTCCAGTTTATTAGATCATCTTATTTATTGACTGGCGATTTTAAAGGGGCTATCAATGGCTTATAGAAAGGAGGAAACTTTACATTAAAGAAATACTTGGAATGGGTTTTTATCCTTCGAGACTGAGTGGCATAAAAACGTTATCTAATGTTGACTGAATGCAATCCCAGGCGCTCTTGCAAGTATTCCACCTGCGTTATTTCATTCAATACTTACAGTAACACTTTAAGGTGGCTGTTATAATTATTATTATCCACCCCCCCAGAAAATTAAACTGAGTCATTAAGACGTTAACTTGCGCATCAAACGGGTACAGGGGAGAGTACCAGGATTCCCACGTGCAGTTTAACTCCTGCGCCTGAAAACGTCACTATTGTGCCATTCTTTTCGAACTATCAGTACCCTATTCAGTCAATACACTTCTCCGACTTACAGAACTTCACGTCCTAACTGGTAGAACAATGCACGTGCTGTGGCCCAAGCAGCAGGTGCAGGTCAAGACCCTCACTCCACCAGCAAGCGCCAGGTTCTCGACACCCGAGAGCAAGCTGGAAGGGTCCTGCCCCCAAAAACAGGGAAGCACCGGCGGCCGAGAACGCACGCCTCTCCTGAGACCTAGAGGTATGACGTCATTTCCGTCGTCTGGGCGGTTGCCCCAGCGACGCGTCGGCGTCAAGAGCGACGTTGGGTACCCGAGAGACCTGGCGGTAGAGAAGTCACTTCCTACCGGAGATGCTGTTTCCTAGCAACCGCCTCCCACCTCGGCCTTTTGTCCCTCCCCCTGGCTCGGGCGGGGCCTGCTCTCCGAAAGCCGGCAGGCCCGGCGGAGGCGAGAAGCTCCTCCCCGAAGCCAGCCGCTCAGTGGTGAGGCTGCGGGGAGCCCGCCGCCAGAGAGGCTGGAGTGGGTAGGGGTCTCGGGACAGGGGGCGAGGAACGCGGCGGGGAGGGCTCGTGGGGACGCGGCCGTGGGAGTGCCGGGCGCCAGGCGGACGGCGCGGGCGGCGCGGGCTGGACCCGGGCGCCACCTGGCCGGGCCCGGGCTGCGGGACCGCTGGGCCCGGCCTCGGCGCCCACCAGGGGAGACGTTTGCGGCGCCTCGTACCGTGCTTGTAACGCAGCCCGTCGCTTAAGCTTCGTTCTGTTTCTCTAGCAATATTAACACTTGTGAGAAGGAAGAGCGGTGATTTGTAGTTTCGCGTTATGATCTTTATCTTTCAGTAGCTGTGTACACAAGCAATGCTTTTTTTGTGTATTTTTTCGTCGGGGGTTGATTTGGTTTGGTGTTGCATAGTTGTATCTTTTATTCTGACAGCCCTCCTGGTAGACTTTTAAGTAAGGTATGACGGTTTTGTAGGCAATGCTATTACAGTTTTCGGATCAAGTGAAAAATGAGGCGTTTTATTTTAATTGGCAACATCCTGTAGTAACATGTTGCAGTCATTTATTTGCTCATCCTTAAAATAATCGCAAAGCTATTTTAGGATAACCTTTTAATTTGACTTTGATAAGCTACTTGTGAGAATTTTGTGTTTACAGGAACTCTGTTTTCATATTTAAGTGAATATGTAGCTCAGTGTTCATGTAATGTTTTTCTTGTTTTCAGTTTTTTTCTCCATTTTTTTGTTTTTAAGCACTAAGGGTAGTAATGGAAGTTCTCAAGCATGCAAAACAGTCTTTTTTTTTATTGTATATTTCAGCCATCATCTGAGGTTGAATTATTCCTGTTCTTAGTCATTTTATAAAGCCAAAGAGTTTAAAAACCAAGAATAAAATACAAAAACACTATGTCCGACGAAGTTTTTAGGACAACTTTGGCATATACAAAGAGCCCAAAAGTCACTAAAAGGACCACTTTCCAGGTAAAGTATTTCAAAGCACTTTTATTTTGAATGATTTTGCAAGGTAAACACTGTGTTATTCGAGTGTAGGATGGGAAATGATTCTAGGAACAATCCTATATAATGCGGGATTGAATGAACTTTGAATTTTCATAAAAATTTTTCTGTTGTTTTTTCTGTTATAACTATCACATTAAGTTTTTTCTGTCTAGTCATTACAACTTTGATCTCAGCCTTTCAATTTATAGTATTGATCACATTCATTACTGCAATATGCTAAAAGATCTTAAAAAGTACCAGCTATTTCCAAAATGGCAATTTATAATAAATCCTGTCTAGATTAAGTCCTCCCTTGTTTATTAAGCTCCAGTCCTAATTAGAGCTTGTAACTAATTTATTTGACATTGTCTGTCTCTTCCAGTTTCACTGCACGCTCAGTGAGGAGAGGGATCTTGTCTGTGGTGCTCTGCCTTGAGTCTGAGGGCTTATAGACATGGTGGGCTTTCAGTGCATATTTGTTAAATGAATGAAACCAAGTTTGAAAGCAGTTAATAAGCATTGTTTGAGACCTCCAATATACCAAGACCTCCACATTTGGCTGGAAATTGATTTTAATTATTTCATTTCAGGATGAGCTAATAAAAGCAATCACAGCTCGCTCAGCCAAGCAAAGGAGTTCTGAATACTCAGATGACTTTGACAGTGATGAGATTGGTAGGTGAGACTATGGAAAAGTAATCCACTTTTCTTCTTTTTAGTTACATTTAGCCCATCCCTCAAAAAAATCACTTATGTTACAATAATGCCTATGAATTTACTGGCTTTAGATTTCCAACTTTTGAATGAGTTTAAATACTCTTAGTTTTCAAGAAGTTGTATGATTGTCCTTGTTTCTAAATATGCATATGAAAATTTAGATTAACTGACAGTAGGTTTGCAGTTAAAGGATGCCTGTCAGTGGTAAATCATATTGGGGCCAATCATATTGGGCTCAAGTTAAAAACTAGAGCCCATACAGATAAACTTAGAAACACATTGGAATCATTTTATGATGCTTTTTGTAAATCCTATTTTTTTGGCTGTAATAAGGGCTAATTTTTAAAAACCTAGTATATCAGTACTCGTGTGATTTAATTTGGTTTCTTTTGATGATGTCAAAATATTAACATTTTAGATTTTGTGGATAGGCACACAGAATTCTAAACTTGTGTTTGGTGTTTTATGCTTTAATATTCATTGAGTAACTCTTAAAGTTCTCTGTAAAAACAATCAGAATGATAGTTAAATCATTTCTATGTAGTGTTCTTTATGATTTCATAGTAAATCTACTAATCTGGAATGGATGGAATTGTATTTCCAGAATTTTTATGGAACAAAATATAATTAGCAAAAAGGTAGTTATATTCTTCCATTTACAGATGTCCTTGATTTTATAGGATGAAGTTGCTTACAGATAAAAGCTTTTAGTCCAAAATCTAATTTAAGTGTCCCATGGCTGATTGTTATTTTGAAGAAACTTTACACCACTTTTCTCTGAGTAAGCACAGTGCTTGGTACACTAGTCACAGTTGATAAGAATGCTTTGAATAAGTTAATGACATTGAAAATTTTATTTCATAAATACCAATAAAAACTGCCTAAGATAGATGATGTTTAGAGCCGTAAATCTATACGTAAAATAGATTTGTGTCTATTCATGATTGTAAATTCATTTCTAGTTGTCAAGGTAATCTTTTCAATTAACGTAACCTTCCAAACTTTAAAATATACTATTGAAAACATTTCTCTTTTCCATTTTTCAGTTTCCTTAGGTGATTTTTCTGACACCTCAGTGGATGAAAACTCAGCTAAGAAAAAGATGAATGATTTCCATATATCAGATGATGAAGAAAAGAATTCTCCAAAGCTGTCTTTTTTGAAAACCAAAAGATCAAAAACTGATGTAATGAAAGATGAGTCAGTATTCTCCATGAAAAATGAGAAGGAATTGGCACCTGATGGTAGTGAGGACGTGGCTTTAAATCCTTTATCTGAACCTCAAAATAAAGACCACAAAATTGAAACAGAGAAAATTAAAGTGAAACCCAAGCCCAGAATTCTTCCAGTCAAAAGCGCATCTTCAGGTAATTTGTTAGGTCATTGTAATTGCATTTTTTGAATATTTATTATAAGATAATCACAAAATACCTTTATATGGTAGCTAGTAAATTTTTAAGAAAAAAAGAATCAAACTTAACTTTTCAATTTTATGACACAAATCGAAGTAATAGAACCATAGAGAAAATCCCAGAGTTCTGATGTCCAGCTGTGTGTACAGTCTCGCTTCTGTGCTGGTGCCTGGCGAAGTGCCCTCAGGGTTGCACAGCTCTGGCTCTCAGAGCTCCTCGGTCCAGCTTTGCCTAGGCCTGTGAGATTCAGTTTTGTTTTTAGGGAGGGAACTGCAATGTAATCCTTCCTAATCCATCTCACACTCCAGGGATTAGTTGTAGCAGCATTGGCACTGGTCCTTAAAACAATCATTTCCACACCAGAACATTGGCCAGAACATTTTCTGGATATGTATATATTTGAAGAGAGGCAGTTTTATTGGTGCTGCTGTTGTTTAAGCCTGCAGACTTTCCTGAAGAAAAGACAATCTCCATTCCATTTCTCTATTCCCTGGGAAAATCCAGTGAGACACAGTTTTCCAAGGGGAAGCTCCTGGTGTGATCTGGGATTACAGTAGTTTCTCCACAGTCCTACTCTAGACACAGTAGAGCAAAGATGGGGTGAAGCATAGAACCAACCCCTCTGAGGTCCCCTAGGCCACCACACAGAAACATGGGCAAAAGGGTTATGGGCTTGGTGTCTTCCAGTCTTTCTTTATCTGTTTTATAAAAAAAAAAGTTAGTCGATGCAAATCTTCATTAAATACAGTGCTGGTGAGTATTTCATACTTTGTATATTGGATATTACTGGTAACATCAGACAAAACTTTGATTCAGACATGTATTAGGGAACCACTCCTTTCCCCCACCCCACAACCCCAGCCCCACCAACTTTCAAATGAGGCAAAGATACATGAGTAGAAAAGGAAGATACTGGGAAAAAACCCACTATATATTAATTGTGTGAAACCTCAGCAAATGGAGTTACCCTTCCTGTCCTCAGAGGAGGAGGATTAACCTGCTTTTCCGGTTCTACAGAATTGTTTTGAGAATCCATTGAACTATCTCTAAACTAAAATTCTACATAATTGTGAGCACAAAGCATGATGAAAGAGAATTAATTTGCTAAAACATACCTTCCTAGTATATTGAGTAGAATCAGAAATGGAGAGAAGGGGAACATAATTGAACTTGGTGAATAATCCTATAGTTCACCATCTCTCAAGTGTATTCCACAGTTTGTTCTTTGGTATTGTGGAGAAAATACAGAGTTATAGAAATTTTAAACTGACTTCTTTATGAGAGAACTTCTCAGAGCCATTAATAAAGAAATACACATGGTGCATCTTTAAGGATATAGTAGGCAGTGTTTTCTCAGCCAAGTTGACCTTAGAAACCTATTTTTGTGGATTGTATTTATACTTGGTTTGTCTTGATTCTGAAAAGTTTTTCTTTAGGGTCATAAAATTTGAACATGTAGAAACTAAAAATTGGTCTGTTATAGTCAGAATTATATAATGAGAACTTTAAGGTAGACAATCAATAATCCACCTATTGAATGCCTTTTTTTTTAACTTGACGAATTTAAATGACTAGAGAAATACTGTATTTATCCACA